CAAGAGTGTGACCGGACCATTGGGGCGAGTTCCGAATTCTCAGGGCTTCGAAAGGAAACGAGGCCGCGCACGAGTGAAGTATCAGAAACCACCAGGGAGGTTCAAGTGGATACACACTTGTCAACGGGTGTAGAAATCAAGCCGGCGCCTCCCCACGGCTGGCCTAAAACTAACCCAATCTGGGTCTTTTTATAACACCAGTTCAGTCTGGAATGCTGAAAGCCAGCCGTTCCCGGCAGAGGCCGAGCTGCAAACCCTGGCAAGGCAGTCGGGTGGGAGGCTGCAGGCGAGAAGCCTTCCCTTGCCCATCCGCTGGCGCAGGCGGGCAGCGAGAGCGGCTGGAGGCCCCCGGCAGGTCAACCGCCAAGGCCAAAAGGGAGGGACCGACTAACTCTTCTGGCTTCCTGGCAGGGGAAGGGTTCCTGTCCCCTACCCTTCCAGAAAAAGGCTGCTCCCACAATAGGCACAGGGAGATATTTTCCACAGGAAGGTATTTTTCCTGAGGCTACCGAGAGAAAACAGAAGCTTCCAACCCACTAGCAGGGATCTCACACAGTCACAGGCTTGGTCTCCGTCCCTGACGTTGGGGCTGCTAAAGAGGCCACCAACGAGCCAGAGGAGGCAGGCAAAGAAGCACCCACCAATTAGCCATGACTGCTGATTTCTCTGCCAGGCCATTTAAAAGATACTTCTGCCAGCGTTCAAACATCCCCTTTCTGGGGCATCTCTGTCTACACACTGGCTATCAAAGACAGTTTGTGTTGTCCTTTTTAATTGTTTGTTTGTTTGTTTTCTTCCACATCCCCAAACCTGCCGGAATTCCTCCTCTACCTGGTGGCGACAAGCGGGTAGCTGTAGCACGGAGATGCCCAGGCGTCTCTTGTCCATGGCATGCTGTCGTAGAGGAGGAGGTCCTTCTCTGTCACGGCCAAGAGGGAAGGACGCCACTGCTGCCGCCCTCCATCCAGCCTGGCCTGGAGGAAAGGCAAAAGGAACAAGTGGCTGAGGAGTCCGGCCTTCGTAACAAGCCCCTTGGGGAAAGAAAGAAAGGGGGAGCAGGGTGGAGGAGGATGAAAGGGGGGGCAGCCCTTCTTGGGGGAGCCACCAAGGACAACAGGTCACAAGTGCCTGGACAGAACCCCCTGCAAGGGTCAGCAGGCAAGGAGAAAAGACAGCCCAAGACCTTGCTGGAGATTTGGGTGAGTGCTGCCCCCTAGAGCCCAAGTTTGAAAGTACAAGGGAAGGCTGGTAACTATAACACATCACTTGGGTGGAGTGATACTACTATTTTTTGCAAAGGGAGATAATAACTGATAACTTTAGTACCTTTTGGGGTCATGTTTCCTCAGTAGCCCCAAAAGACTGCTTTAGTCATATTCTTTTGACCATGCTTGTGTTTTTAAATGTATTTTAGAAAAACAAATGATTCAAAAAGTAACTGAAAATTAATGCTTCAAGGAACAAGCGACGTTGATGAGTCAATTCCAGCCAGCCTCAGGAGCATCAGCAGCAAATTACTTTTTTTAAATAACGTGTTTATACTTCCAGAGAGGACAGCTTGAGATAATCGACCAGGAGCCCTTCAGTCCCGAAAGGTTCCCCTCTCCTTGCTTGCACTTCTCCCTCCCAACTTCAAATCTCCTTAAGCTTGTGAAGGGAGAAAGAGGAGAGCAGCCCCCATCCCAGTGGTCTTCTCTTCTCCTTCTGCAACAATATCTGTTCTCTGTGGCCCTGGGGAGAGGCGGTGGAACTCTCTGCCACACAGACAGGCTGCTGGTGAAAGCAGTCGCTGGACAGAGAGGGCAAGCAGACAGCCAGGACTGTCACTCCCTGTTACTCTCGGCAGCAAAGCTCCACCTCTGGGGGGGCTGCACCCTCCTGGCCGGGCTCGTGTTTCCCTCTGGCTGCAAGGCATTCCAGCCGGCGCACGGCCCCAAGGAAAGGGGCCATTGGTCTCGCTCCAATGCCAAGTTAAGGGTGGGGCTGGCCTGCTGCCAAGGGCACAGAGACGCTTCCTGGACGAGCAAGGGCAGGAACTCCCACTGCCTCCGTCGTGGGCACGGGACCTCCAACCCGGAGGCCAGCCCCTCTTCTGCCCGGTCCCTGCCCGCCCGCCCGCCGGCTCACCTGCTCTGCCAGCCATGCAATGTGCTTGACCTCCTTGCTACTCCCAGGGGTGTTGCCCGCGGCCAGCATGGCGTTCAGCTCTGCCAGGACCTGGGGGAGGAGAGCCATGATGTTGGTGTGGATGGCCATGAACCAGGAATGTGCCGTGGCCGTGTCCTTGCAACGCAGGATGAGGGTGTTCCTGCCGTCTGGGGAGTGCAGCTCGATCAACCTACACGGGGAGGAGGAGGAGAAGAAAGGAAGGCACCCTAAGAGGGATGGAGACCCTCCGGAGGGAGAGAGGGGCCAGGCGTGCCTTGACAGCCCCCAGCATCTCTCTCCCCTTTAAGGAGTTTTCTTACTGTTTTCCATTTAAAAAAACCAACAACACTGAAGCCAGAGAGAAATTTTTAAAAAAGAAAAGCAAACCCCCATTCAAAACCCCAGCCCAAGAGATAATGTTAACAATTAGGAAAATAATCAGGAAAAATGCCCGGGTAAAGGTCTTCGGCAGGAAGTGATGGTTCTTCGAGGCAGGGAGTGACCTTTTTGCCCTCGTTTCCTGGCGGCTGGGCCGTAAGGAGGGCCCGATCCGAAAACTGCAGAATGCAGATCCCAGATCCAGCAGAGGAGCAAGGGAAACCACCACCACCTCGACGTCCAACACCAGGGCTCTCTGTATACAAAACTGGGACGTCCGACCGTGCTGGGGCGGGAGGGGGGGGCACAGGCTGCCTTGCCCCTTGACGAAGAAGGGTTTGCTGCGGGTGGGGCCACTGCCAGGTGGAGCTGCTTTTACACTTCCTCACCCAGGCGGGAGGGGAGAATGGCCTCCATGGGGCAGGACTTGCTGCTGCTTGTGGAGAACATGCCGCCCGCCCGTCCCTCTGGGCAAAGGAGAAAGGCCATGACTGCTTTTGCTTCCGGCTGCGGAAACAGCTCTGCCCATCGCGACTGGGCCGTCTGGGGCTTCCTAAAAGGGC